AGGGACAAAACCCCTTTGGGTTCTTTGAAGGACTATTGTTTTCGTTTTGCCATTTTGTGTTGAATCACTATAAATGTCCGTTTCACTTTTCAGACTGTTGCCAACAAATGTTAGAATCCTGCATTATATTTGAAGAAATTGAATAATGAAAAATCTGCATACTGTATGTATATTTCTCGCATTGTGATAATACAACGGTACATAGAGCCATCGAATTTTGAATGACGTAATCCTCTTACGAATATTGGCATGTGGAAGACCCAATTTGAAATTTGGAATTTGTTTTATTGTCGATTTCATATTTTGTAAACCTTTAACGAATTTTTGATTCACAAACTCAAGGATTTCAAAGCGAGCAATGGCAACACTTTACGGAGGGGGGAAAAGAACCCTTTTTATCTCCAGCGCTCGGAACTGTGTTTCGGAAATTCTAAAAAAAGGCTCATTTTAAAATTATTTTGCGACATTGCTACTGAACTGAATTTTATGGTTTAAGTGAAAACAACATGATATTTAATAAATAAAGGTAACACACAAAACGTTAAAAAAACGCCTCTTTTGACGTAATTTCAAATCTTAAACATTTCAGATATTTTTTTGCATAAAATTTAAATACAACATCAGAAGCAATTAATAATTCGCAGATATTTGAAAAGAACCTTAGAACCATCTAAAATCAACCTTAGATTGCAAGGTATTTTCTCCCTCCTTTCCGCATGCCTTCGTGATGCAACGGTAGCACACTCGACGTGTATTCTAGAGGTCCAGGTTCATACCCCGGCGAAGGCATTGCACATTTTTCACGTCTCCTGCTTCAAAAAATCCTGATGACTTTGCAAGATTAGCATATATTTTGAACAAATGTCTATCGATTTCTAAGTTGATCAGACACGGGTTTTGCTTCTTTAGGAAAAAAAGTAAATTAAATATTTATGTTCGTAAAGAAGCTAATTTTTAAAATTCTACGCTAATCTAAAGTTTATTTTTTCCCTTTGATTTTAAATTCTAAATTGCTTCTCTCCTTCTCTTACTATTTGTTTGCTTGAGCTCTCTACATCTAATTCAAAATTTGTCATCTGAAACCATTTTAAGGCAAAACGCATGGCATGCTACAAACCCCTCAGCGTTCATTGTGCAACTACATCCGTCAAAGACGTAAACTAACTATCAGGTTGTAAAAGTGCATGGAAATTCTTAGAAAGCACATCTTAATAAGATTATAAATTCTGACATCAAATGATAACATTTTATATGCTAATTGTATTTAGATCAAAACTAATAATAGATTCAAAGGAAAGCTGGAAGGGCCGACGTTTTTCGGTAATATTGATGCAATTCTTCGTGCTAAAAATTGATATAGAAGCCGATGCACCAAATTATAATTTTTTGGTATTTTACTTACTTTAATACGAAATTCACACACGTCGGGTTTTTCAAATCTCTTTACCATCGCGTCTCTCTCTCTCTCTCTTTTTCTCTCTTTATTCATATGTATACACAATGAGTGTAAATTAAAAATTCTGTGTAAAATTTAAAATCTGTTTACAATCGCTTTTCTGTCTCTCTCTCTCTATATATATATACATATATCTATATATATATACATGTATATTAAAATCGCATTTCTATCTGTCTTTCTATATCTATACTCTCTCTTTACATATATATTCTATTTTAAAAATGCTAATGAATAAATTCGATTCTATAATTCTAACTACTCTTTCAAAAGAGATAATATATTCAGTAATCTACTAGAAAATAAATTATTATTTTATTACTTTGCAACTTTAGTGCAAGTATTATTATTACTTGCAATTACCTTGTTTACTTAAATATTCAGTTTAGACAAGTAAGAAAATAAAACTCTTGTAAGAATTAGACATTCCTATTTGAAGATTGCATTTAAAGCTTGATAGAATCGCCAATTTCTTACTGACTTTTAATTAGCAATTTGAATAATTTGAACTCAGTCTTACTGAATAGCTTTTTTAGTTCTGATTCTTGTTTAAGAAAAAGACGAAATGCTTTCGCATCTCTTAATTATTGTTAATTGATCAGAAGTTAGTTTGTTCCCCCTTGAAACGTCAACTAATTCCCGATTAATGACGATAATTACTTACTTTATTGGTTGCATTTTGGGTTTTAATTATTCCATTTTAAATATGCTAATGAGTAAATTCAAGTCTAACAATTATAATTGTTTATGAAGGAGATAATATATTCAATACTCTACTAGAAAACATATATATATATATATATATATATATATATATATATATACATACGTTGAATGTTAATTGAAAGTTCAATTTAAAATTAAATACCTTATAGAAATTCCAAAAGTATTAAACGCTAAATCACCCTAATTAATTGAAACTTATAATTAAACTAGTAATGAATATAAATTACTACTTCTTTTAGAAGGGAACAATAATTATTAGGTAAATCACATAAAATGCCAAAGACCAAGCTCTCATATATAATTTTTAAATTTATTAAATGTATTATGTTTAAAAAATGAATTGTTCGGGTGGTGTGGTGGTGTGTTTAATTATGGCAAAGCACACTAAGGCTATCTGCCTAGCCCAGCAAGGGAAAGGGAAATATGGAGCAGCAATTCAGCAAGGGAAATATGGGAAAACATTAAACCAATTAAATAAGTGAAGACTGATCTGTTTTTAAGTCTTTTTCAAGGATATATGCAAAAACGTGATTAGCCTTACACAATTTTGATTCAATAAAATTCAAATTTTAATATTTAATCAATGATTTTTTTTCGTTTATCAGCATTGCCCTTAAAACAATTTTAAACTGAAATATATTTACTGAATATGGTATTCGGGGGCAGTTAACTTCTTATTAGATATTTATTTCGGTTATCTTTCAGATTATTTTTACCATTACCATCTTCATCCCTGATACGTTCCTGACTGAGACAGCTGATTAAGCTTGTCCTAACTTTTGAATGTAAGTGAGGAGATATCTCAACTCATAAACAAAAATTCATTTAGCCAATTTTTATACATGTTTACAAATAACCGATTGCACACTGATGAAATGTTCTTACACGTTTGACTGAAAAATGAAAGAAAAATTATTATTTACAACAGTGGTAAACTTTTCAACTATCATAAAAATAATTTGCAGAATCTATGATTTTGAAATAATTATTATTATTAAAATTAATTATAATTTCGTTTTTTTTTAATTTATTTTTTCTAATTTTTCTTATAATTATAATTCCAAAAATTTCGAAATTTAGATTAACCAAACTGAATTTCGACTTGCCATTATGATAGTGTAAGAAATTCTGAGCTTCTGAGAGATTTTGCCAAACACAGGCTTTGAAGACGATGTCAGGACTACAAATTAATTTATATATTATTATGGTAATAATAGCATAGCAAAACATAACTATATGTTTTCCTTCAATACAAAAGAAAAGATCGATATATCACGTTATCCCCTTGGGATTTTTCATTTGTTATTTGTGATGCTTTTATTCGGCTTATTGTCTTTTGAAGTGAATAAAGATATATCCGGAATTATCAAAAAAAGGTAGGAAACGAATGAACTTAAGTTTTTGATTTGATTAAGGCAAAGCATACGAGGGCTATCTGCCTAAGGGAAGAGATGCTTTCGTGAAGGACTTTCTAAGGGAAACCGGCTTTTATACGAGTTACACATGGGGAAAACTACGAAAATGCCCGCGCTGTCAGCCTGTTCGCCGAGATTCGAAACCCGGACCGAATTACCAGTGTTCATTGACTTCTGCTCGGCCGCTGGTAAGACGAAAATAAACTTAAGTATCTAATAATTAACAAGGTGATGGAACCTTTGTAATATATCATCTCCATCTGTGTTTAGAGGCATAAGCCTGAAATGTTAAAATTTGAGCACAGATTTTCTAGAAATATGCAACAGAATTTTACTCATAAAGAGAATAAGCTATAATTTTATTATTTTATTGCTTTGTAGCAAATAATATATGCAACAGAAATTTAGTCATAAGTATTGAATAATATTTCGTCTTAAATATGCACTTTAAAAGTTTGCAACAGAATTTTAAATATAAAGAGAATAAATTATAATTTTATTGTATTCTTTGTAGCAAATTTAATTTTTAGTAGGATATTTTGTACTTACAGTATTAAAAAATGTTCACATTTTTATTTAACAGTTTCCAGAATCTTTGATAGACGTTTTAATAGAAACACATGTAAATGGTATCGAATATCGTTTTTTGAAAACTGTTCCGTACAAACTGATACGCACTCGAATTTCAAAATGCATTTTACTAAATTTTGCTAAGAACTTTTCTAATGATCGTGGTGTGGTTTTAATATCTTCTTCTCACAATACCACAAAATGCAACATTTATTCTTCGTCCAAATACATGATGAGGCCCACCAAAAGTCGCAGAACAATGGTAGGTCGGTCTGAGGCTGGAACCCCTCGAAAGTCTGGCTGCATGGGCTTTTTGTGGTTTTCTTCAAGTGTAACGATTATACGAGTCAGTATCCACTAGAACGTCCTCCACGAAGGCATTGCTTCCCTCAGACAGATAGCCCTAGTAACCCCCTTGATTACGGCCCTTTGCCGTAATCAAATAAACCAACCTAATGCATGAATATTAGTATCATAAATATTTTCACGCTAACTGTAATTATATAAAATATATAGAAATTATATATAATTTCAAATAACTTGTTCAGACTATCAAATAACGTTTTCAGACTATCTGCATTTAAAAACTGTAAAATATTTATAATTATTTATAATGTTAAATGAACAAACATGATAGCAGTGTTGTTAAAATGTGTTCGATTACGCAGTTCTTCTGCAAACAGAAGAAATAAGATTCAGAAAAGAAAAATTGGAAGTTGGGAACGTTTTCATAGTTTCAGAAAATCAATGACACGCATTTGGATGCAAATCCAAATTATCTTTTCCCTTTTCCATTCTTTCATTTCTTTCTTTTTTTTTTTTTTTATTTTCAGTGCTGCAGGATTACAAGGTGACTGTTTACGATGCTGAGTTTATTTTCAAAGGCAACGTGGCTTTACTTCGCTGCGAGATATCTGGAAATGGGAAAGAGTACGTCTTTGTAACGTCATGGCAAAGAGACGATGGTTTTACCATTTCATTAAACGACAATAATGGTAAGTACCAGAACTATCATACTTTATTGCTTCTTTGTCGTTTTCCGTCTGATTTGCTTTCCATCTCAATGGTAGTGAACAAATGCCCAATGGACCTAGGAAGCCGTATTACGGGATTCAACTTCGGTTCTTTTTTTTTTTTTTTTTTTTTTTACAAAGATTGCAAGGCTATGCTTTATTCGAACATTCCAATATAAAGGTTACGTAATGTTCTTTCTCTTGGGATCAAGGCTCTCTGATGTAAGCGAATGCATATATAAGCAAGAAAACTGTATTATTTTTAAGTTGATAAAGATACTATAAACGCAATCCAAATGAGTTTAATAATTGTGAAATTCATTATTTTGCATAAATTCTCTAACATTTGTATATTTATTCACTTAGTTTGGATTTCGAGTTCAATTAACGTATACGTACCAGATTTTGATTTGCTTTTGTTTGCTTTATTATTATGCAACTATTTCTTATGCTATGAATTGAGATGAACGCTTTTTAATATAATAGTAAACATATTAACAGCTTATTTAACCGATCACCAACTGAAAAGACTTTTAGATACGTTAATAATTTTATTCATATTGCACCTTTGACTATATTTTTTTTTCTTTATGTTATGCGACTATTTCTTAAGGTATACCATCTGCGATGAACAATTATTAATATAGTAGTTGCACATTTTACGTGCTACTTTAAGCGATCACCAATCAATAATCTCATGTGTGTATCTCACCTTTGACTCTTCATTTTTTTCCTTATTATATGCGACTGATCCTTAAGCTACTAACTGCTGTAAAGTCTTCTTAATATAATAGCTAAACCTTAAGCTACTAACTGAGATAAACTCTTCTTAATATTCTAGAGACATTAAGTTATTTTTAAGCAGTAGAGATGAAAAATGAGCAATCGCCTTTGCTGGGAATTGAACCACGGACCTCTGGAATACCGGTCCAGCGTGCAGAACCACTACACCACGAAGGCACGCCGGGAAAGCGGGTAAAACACCTTATAATATAATAGCTAAATCTTAAGCTACTAACTGCGATAAACTCTTCTTAATATAATAATTTAACATATTGACGGCTTATACGCACCTTTGACCATTATTTTTTTTTCTTTATTATATGCGACTACTAACTGGGATGAACTCTTCTTAATAAAATAGTTAAACATGTTGACAGCTTATTTAAGCAATCCCCAATTGTAAAGACGTTTAGATACGTTAGTAATTTTATGCATATATTGCACCTTTAGCGTTTTCAGAATTTGAATTAATATCTCGGCTAACTAAAGTCGTACGGAAATGAGAATGGTAGAAATGGCTTTCCGTGAAATTTTGGAATACGGAGGTACCTTTCTCGAAACTTAAATCGTCGCGTTCCGAAAGAGATAATACTACAAACAAACAGACAGATGCACACATATTTTAATAGAATAGATAACCAAATCAAACTCCGAGAAATCCCTCCCCATATTGATTGCACATACAAAATATATTCAACTCTTAAATCTTAATTTATTGCCTAATGCGAAGCGCACATAATTCGTTTTGAGTATCTCAAATTATAGTAAAATTTATGCAACAAAGCAAATTTGTGCTAAATTTGTTAGTAGCACTTTTTTTTTTTTTTTTTTTTTTTTTTTTTTTTTTACGATTTAAAGAGATATATTTTAATAACAAACCGTTAAATCAACCAAGCTATTACATCTCGTCAGAAAGGGAAATTCAAAAAAGTATTTAAAATATTTCCTCAAATTTAGAATTTTCAATGTGTGAGTATTGAAACTGACGGATTAATCACGATTTAATCTTGATTACAAATACTGATGTGTTTTGTAAGCGTCACACAATATATTACTCCCAATACCGTGCATAAAAAATATTGTGCATAAAAATCGTAATCTAATGCAGGTTATAGGTTCAGTTCTACTTTATTGTTTTAAGTTTATAAGGCATTTTCTCCCTCCTTTCCGCATGTTTCCGTGTTGTAATTGGAAGCATACTCGACGCGTATTCGAGAGGTCCAGGGTTCGAGAGCCGGCGAAGGCAATGCATATTTTTTACGTCTCCTTAAAAAAAAATGACTTCACAGCTGCCACCCGAACTTAAAGATGGTGGGCCATAATTCGTCAAAACCAGGATTTGTGGCCTGTGTGCCCTAGTCCTCAGTCACCTTTTAAAGGGGGGCATATAAGGTATTTTCTCCCTCCTTTCCTCATACCTTCGTGTAGTTACTGGAAGCAAACTCGACGAGGATTCGAGAGGTCCAGGTTTCAAAATACCGGCGAAGTCATTGCATGTTTTTCGCTTCTCCTGCATAAAAAATAGTTACTCTACAAGTTATTCAAAGATGCAATCGAAATCCTCTTCTATTCCCTTTATTGAAGGAAGTAGATATTCAGATTCCGAATATTCAGATTTCTAACTTTTATATTTGTTAACTAAATTGTAAGGTATTTTTCCCCTCCTCTTAACAGACCTTCGTGGTGTAACAGTAGCAAACGCGGCGTGAATTCATGAAGTCCAAGTTCAAGTCCCTGTGAGAGCATTGCTCATTTTCTACGCCTCCTGCTCTATATCTATAGTTTCTCTATAGTGGCGTCCGAACTAAAATGCTGGTCTTTAATAATTCATTTCCATCAGGATTTGGCGATTAGGTCCCTTAATGTCGAGTGCCCTATAAAAGAAAATTAAATAATGTATTTTCTCTCTGCTTTCGTGGTGTAACAGTAGGATACGCGGCGAGTATTCGAGAGGACCGGGTTCGGTTCCCGGTGAGAGCACTGAGCATTTTCCCCTTCTTCTACTTCAAAAATAATCTACAACTTAAAATGTTTCTAACAAATTATTTTTATTCCGTGTGCAGATAACAGACTAATGCAAAATAAAGTGAACCGGCTGATGATGTTTTCAGAAGCATTTTCTAAAAAGCAGATTTTAAAAAAAAGCACAAATAGCAATGTGATTATTTTATGGAGAATACATATGATATTTTACGCGTAATATTCACATTTCAAATCTCTAATAAAGAAAGGCATAAAATTGTTTAATATGGCAAAAGTGCCTAAAATATATTTCATAATCAAGACGTGAATATTTCAGTTTAGTGAGTGATATTGCAAATCTTAGAGATGAAAAAGCATTGCTGGAAAATGGATTTCATTTCGAGCGTTATATTAAAAATGCAGAAGCGTTTAAATAACAAATTTAAATCAGAAATATATTTAATTTTTCCATCTTTGTTGCTAATTGGTTAAACAACTTTAAAACAAATACCATACATAATTTTCACGTTTTAGAGTTCTCAGTGCAAGATATATCAAATTTCATTACAGCATAGAATTTGCGCAAATAACTCGTAAATATGAAGCTATATTAATGAAATCTTTAAACTACTGGTAAACAAAATAGTATATTTATACTTTTTCCAAACATACATTTGAAATAATATCTAAAGAATAAACCAGTTAGAAGTGTAAGGTTATTCCAAAGGTTTTCATAAAACGAAATAGCTAATAATTTTATGGAAGATGCCCCTCTTCAGACACAGAGTCTTTGCAGGCATCGCTCCAATTTAAATGACGTAATCTAATCCTTTTCTGCGTTCTGTCATATCATGACAGTTTTTTCTCAATTTTCTATTTCTTTTATCACAACTTCATCAACATTTTTACTATGTTAGCAATTTTGCAACATTGACGCTATATTTTAAAGAATTATATAATCGATATTTTCTTAATATTAGTTTTCAGACCTGCGTAATTTTCGACCATATTAATTGCTTATGTGATTGCCATCCGATGAGTTATTTAATTATTCTTGATTCTAATTAAAATTTGGAAGATAATTACATGAAAACAGTTTTCCTAATGTTTTATTTTTACGTGTGGTGAAGAAATTCAAAAACTTAATCCAAATGTGTATTCCGTTTAATCAGTCCCCTTTAAATAGTAAAAAGAAAATGTTACCCTAACACAGTTTAATGACTGCTAGTTGATCAATAACCAAAATTTAATGCCTGCTTTTGGCAATCAGTTTCTAAACCTCTAAACTCAACTGGAATTGATCTTACTTTAATAATTTTTGAACTTATATTTTTGTTGCATTTCTGCTTAAAATATAAAACAGGAGGGTAAATAATATATACAAAATATTTCAATGATTCAAAATCATCAAATTTGTGTTAGACTGTATTTCCAAAGCCGTTTCTGTTCTAAATCCTTGAATAAATAAGAATTAAATACTGAAATTGTAAGGATCTTAAGTTTTACTAACGTTTATTTTATTTTAAATCTTTACTATCACTTCTTATTTTCTACTTCCGGCCAGAATTAAAAGCTTTAACTTATTTATGTAAATTTGTTTGGCGAATGCCAAGTACTTAAGTTGTGGCTTTTTGCCCAGCGAGAGAGAGGAAGGAGTTAGTCGAAACAGGCCGCTTGCCTTAGCAGTTTTACTCGGTTGCTGGTTGCCTTCCAGGCCAGAGGTTTAATCCTCTTGATAATTTTAAACGTATTGTAGTGTTAACAGTTCTCTGTACTACATACGGCTTCCTGTTAATATACGGCCAATCTTCCACGTAGACCCTTGTTTATTATTCCAAAGTTAAGTTAGAGTTTAGTTAATATTTTTATATTCTTACGTTCAGACCACAAGTAGTTGGTCTCTGTATTCCGAAGTACGGAAATTATTGTAAAGAGTGAAAAATAAAGGGTTTCGTATACCCTTCCTGTGTATCTTGTCTACTTCCTACATTTATTGAACATAGCTTTAGTAAGCTCCCTGTTCCGAGTCAGGTTCTGGAATGTTCCCCAAGCAAGTAAGGAGAAACACTGAACCTGATAGTGGCGCCCGACGAAGAAGAATAACCATGGCCGAGTTTCAAGAAGAACCTGTGCTGCCTGCAGAAGCGGCTCAGAATCCAGAAATGCCAGCTGCCACCCTGGAATTATTTGGTTACATCGTCCAGATCATGCGCGCAGCGATGAACCAGAAGCAACAT